AGAAACCGAGATATTACTTGCTACAAGTGTCAAGGGAAAGGACACTATGCTCGTGACTGTCCAAACCAAATGGTTATCATCATTACAGAAGATGGAGGATATGAAAATCAAGAAAAGGGTGACAAAGAAACGGCTATTACTGATGAAGATATCACTGATTATCCAGATGAAGGAGATATACTTGTCACCAGAAGAGCATTGAGTGCTATATTTGAACCAGAAACCATCCAAAGAGAAAACATTTTCCACACCAGATGCACCATAGACTCCAACGTATGCAGTCTGATCATTGATAGAGGTTGATATACTAATGTTGTTAGCAAGTACTTGGTTGATAAGCTAGGTCTGAAGAAGACAAAACACCCAAAGTCGTATAGACTCAATTGGTTAAACGATGAAACTAAGTTGAAGACTGGTGAGCAAGTGGTGGTCCCATTCATCATAAGCCGCTATGTTGATCAGGTTACTTGTGATGTAGTTCCTATGCAAGCAGGCCATCTCTTGCTTGGAAGACTTTGACAGTTTGATAAAGAGACACTCCACAATGGACACACCAAATACTACAGCTTCACTCACAGCAACCGCAAGCACAACCTTGCTCCTTTAAATCCACAGAAAGTCTTAGACATGCAAAAAGAAATGGACAAAGGTAACAAGGCAAGTAAGACTAATCTTTACATTACTTCCCATCAGGTTTTAAAATCATTAGAGTGAAAAATGCAGGTGCTACAAATGATCTTTAAGGAAGGTGTATTGACAGGTTATGAGGATCAAGACCTCCCACCAGAGATTGTTTAACGTATTGAGAAGTTCCAAGATCTCTTTCCAGAAGATATCCACATGGTTTACCACCTCTCAGAGGAACAGAGCACCAGATAGACCTCATTCCAGGAGCTCCATTACCAAACAGGCCAGATTATGGAGTAAATCCGGAGGAGGCCAAGGAACTAGAGAAGCAGATGCAAGACTTGATGGACAAGGGATACATCAAGGAGAGTCTAAGCCCTTGTGTTGTTCTTGTTCTCATAGTCCCAAAGAAAGACGAAACTTGGAGGATGTGTGTTGACTGCCGTGCCATCAACAACATAACCATCAAGTATAGAGGATGGTGCTACTATCTTTTCTAAGATAGACCTGAAGAGTGATCATTAGGTAAGAATGAAAGAAGGTGATGAGTGGAAGACTGCTTTTAAGACCAAGAGAGATCTCTATGAATGGCTGGTTATGCCATTTGGTCTTACCAATGCTCTAAGCACCTTGATTCGCCTCATGGACCATGTCTTAAGGACATACATCTGTAAGTTTTTTGTTGTGTACTTTGATGATATCTTAATCTATAGCACTAGCTTATAAGATCATCATACACATCTTGAAAAAGTTTTAGAGACATTGTGCCAAGAGCATCTTTATGGTAATCTTAATAAGTTTACATTTTGTACTGATCAATTAGTTTTCCTAGGCTTTGCTGTTAGTTCACAAGGACTAGAGGTGGAGGAAGAGAACATCAAGGCCATATATACAAGACTGGCCGACACCAACAACAATCGGCCATGTGAGAAGTTTTCATGGTTTAGCAAGCTTCTATAGGAGATTTGTCATTGATTTCAGATCCATAGCATCACCATTTACATCAGAAATCAAGAAAGACGTGGCTTTCAAATGGAGCACTGAGCAGGAAGAACCTTTTCAAAAGCTTAAATATAGTTTAACTAATGCTCATGTTTTGGTTTTACCTAACTTTGATAAAATCTTTGAGATTGAATGTGATGCTTCAGAAACAGGTATATGAGCTATGTTGACTCAAGGAGGAAAGCCAGTAGCCTTATTCAGTGAGCCACTACATGGAGCAACACTCAACTACCCAACATATAACAAGAAGTTGTATGCCTTAGTAAGATCATTAAAGACTTGGCAGCACTATCTCTTATCCAAGGAGTTTGTGATCCACACTGATCATGAAACACTCAAGTACCTGAGAAGACAGACGACCTTGAAGAAGAGACATGCTAGGTGGTTAGATTTTGTGGAGTCATTCCCATATGTGATCAAGTGCAAGAAGGGTAAAGAGAACATTGTAGCTGATGCATTATCAAGGAGACATGCACTCATATCACTGATGGAAGCCAAGGATATGGGTTTTTAGCACATCAAGGATCAATATGGAGAAGATCCTGACTTTGGAGACATCTACAGGCAGTGAAATCAAGTTTCCTTTGATTTTTTTTAATCAGCAAGATGAGTTTCTCTTTAGAGATAAGAGGCTGTGCATACCACAAGGATCAATGTGTGATCTGATCTTAAGAGAAACACATGCTGGTGGCCTCATGGGACATTTTGGACGTGATAAGACTTTGATTATAGTGGCAGAACACTTCTTCTGGCCGCACCTAAGGAGAGATGTAGAGAAGCTTTGTGAAAGATTCATTGTTTGCCTCAAAGCCAAATCCAATTTACATCCTTATGGTCTTTACATTCCTTTGCCTATTCCTGACCTACCTTGGGTAGATATTTCCATGGATTTTGTTTTAGAATTGCCAAAAAATCAGGAATAAATACACCATCTTTGTGGTAATAGACATGTTTTCTAAGATGGCACATTTTATTCCTTGCAACAAAACCAATGATGTTTATTAACCTGCTGATCTATTCTTTAAACGGCAGTTAATCTTCATGATATTCCTAGAACTATTGTTTCTGACAGGGACACAAAGTTCTTGAGCCACTTTTGGAGAACTCTTTGGAGGAAGTTAGGTATAAAGATACTCCTCTCAACAATTTGTCATCTCCAAACTGATGGGCATACTGAGGTTGTTAACCGCACTCTCTCTCTGCTCTTTTAAGAGCCACGGTTGGTAAGAACTTAAGGAATTGGCTTGATTGTTTACCTTTTATTGAATTTGCTTATAACCGAGTTCCACACTCTGCTACTAAGCTTTCACCTTTTGATATTGTGTATGGGTTTAGGCCAAATACCACCACTGGATCTTACACCTATACTCCCACATAAGGATCAGATAGTTAGTACTGATGGAGAAACCAAGGCCGAGCTAATGAAGAAGATTCATGAAAAGGTTAAGGCCAATTTAGAGTATCAGAATGAGTTGAACAAGAAGCAAGCTGACAAGGGAAGAAAGAAGGTTTCATTTGAGCCAGGAGATTGGGTCTGGTTACACATGAGGTCCGAGAGGTTCCCAAACCAGAGGAAGTCTAAGCTAGCACCAAGAGGAGATGGCACATTCAAAATTCTAAAGAAGATCAATGACAATTCATATCAGCTGGAGCTGCCAAGTGAGTTTAATGTATCTTCTAATTTCAATGTATCTGATCTATCTTACTTTAATGCAAATGAATATGTTCTGAGGTCAGAACCTTCTCAAGAGGGAGATAATGATGAGGACATAGAACCAGATATCAACATTCCTACTCTTAGACAAGCACCAAGAACAAGATCAGGAACTAAGGAGGTCATTGCATGCTTTAGTGAAGCCATAGAAGGTTTGTTTGCCAAGGACAATACCAATACCAACCTAGAAGCCATCACAAACTATCTAGACAAGCTCACTCTTTATGGATCAGAAGCTGAAGATGTCATACCATATGTTATACCAGACGGTCCAAAAGATAATGCTATTCTATAGTCCATTCTGCCTTGCAAAAAGATGGTTTCCTTATTTACCATCTCTCCACTTAAGTAAAACGATGTGCATCAAGAAGAGGCAAGCTCCCAAACGACAACACTTCACTCCTCAAGTTTGGTTCTCCTCTCCAATGGATACCTTATCTCTCCAATTCAAATCCAACCAAAGGTAAATAAGGTAAGCGTATTTTCATTATTTGATTACTTGATTTTCTTTGCAGGTTTTGAGTCTTTTATTTATGTTATTTTCGAATAAACAAGGCAATGTTTAGCCTATTTCTTTCTTTAGGTACTATGATTGAGTCTTTGTATTAAATTTGCTTCAAGACCCCTAGAAGGGCACACTGCATTGGTGATTATATAAGCCCATATAAGCAGTCTTGTGTTCTTCAAACTTTATGAAATATATGAGTCAGTTTGTCCCTAGTAAATACCTAAGTCTTTTGAGAGTTTGTGAGAAACAATCTTGAGAACAAATCGTGTCTTATCAAGCTCAATCCATAGAGTTTGTGGCGACCATTCAATCCATTGATTGTGTGATTAAATTAGCTTTTATCTCCATCATCCATCCATTGTTCTTGTGGGGTTGTTTATACAAACAAACCACTTGAATCCATCAGCCACCTTCACGCCATCTCCCATCTATTGAAGTAGTTAATTAGTAATATGACCAAGTGCTATTTCCCATCCTCCATTTGTTCATAATCAAGTATCAGGTATCCGGATCTACCACCATCTCATCTTCATCACTTGATCTATCATTTCCAAACCATTAATCCATCCACCGGCCCTAGATTTATCAATCCATCCAACCACTTTAAAAAAGGGTGGATCCATGCCTATATCACGTACCCTTTATGTACTATACTAATGATCCACTAAGTAAACCAAAAATTAAGCATAAACATTAACATGTGTTTGATAAACTCCCGTGAGTTCTAATTTGAAGTGAATTATGACATCTCAAGCCAACTCGGCAAGCACATCTACCCGCCGCTTCAGGTGTTTTCCTATCTTATCTCTCCTTCGGTTTCTCCTCCAATCTCCACTATGACGATCAGATACACTTCCATGGTGATCTATCAACCAAAGTGTGAAATCATCACTTTCTTCCTCGGCTTCGCTTATCTCATCGGCTGGTAATGGTTTTGATGCTTTAAATCAACAAAAGCTTCTTCCTTTTGAATGGCCATGTTTTTAAAAATGATTGGTTTTGTGTTTAGTCATGTGTTTTATATGAGTGGTGATGCGTGGAAAGAAGGAGGGATTAACTCCACTAGTAGTAAAGTTCCTTCCTTTTTTGGCTTTTTTATGCTCTCTTGTTAGTGATTCATCTTCTTTTTGATGTATATTAAGAGCTTTAATGGTGTTAACGCTGATAGTTATCTTGTGTTCGATTGATTACAATGATGGGATGTTGAAGGAGGAAGGTCTACGTGAAGCACAAAAGAAGAACAAGTTGATTGAGATGTCGTCTTTGATTGAGTACTTTGGTTACTGTCTATGTTGCGGTAGCCAATTTGCTGGTTTTTTTATGAAATGAAATATTATCTCCAATGGACAGAGAGGAAAGGATTAAGCTTTTTTGTTTAAGAACCCTTAATTTGGTTCTACCATTGGAGCACTAAAAACAATTTATCTCATAACAAAAGTTCTTAACTTAAGTTTATTACTTAAATAGTCATTAAGAACCCCATTAGGGTCTTCATGGATAATCATGCTATAAATTTCTATAAGAAACATCACTTACTTAATCTAATTTTACATGTCGATCTTTGTAATATTCTTCAAATGAGGGCCTTGTTGCAGAAACTCTAAATCTAATGACCACTTTTCTGTGCAAATGGATGAAAGTAGAGCTATGGTTACGACAGCTAGATCCCATATTTCGATGGTGACTACTTGCCAGGCTCAGCGGAAGAAGATGGCAGGAAGGACAATTAGAAAGGAATGATCAAGAAAACAATTAAAAAAGGGCTCTAACAGCTTCTGAGACTGATCTTTCTGGGAAAGCATCCAAGGATCGGCTGTTAATGTATAAAGTAATATGTACTTTCTATGAATTATACTATCTTCTTTGTTAGTTTTTTCTCCTTTGGCCTTTGTTTCCAGCTCGGTGAGGCCATTTTCCAATTGATTAAGGACTTTCTCATGTCCATTTGCAATCTTTTTGCACACATTGATGTATGCTGATAGTATTTGCAATAGTTGTCAGCACTTAGTGCAAACACTTTCAGATTTGTGATAAGTAAGAATCTTTCTTTCTCTTCAGCGTGATCTTTTTTATAATCTTTTGTTTAGTTTTTTATTGTTGTATTGCACTTGCACATAATATTATTATTGAATAATAAAATGCTATCCTCTCTTTCACGTGTTATGAAGCTGAATAGAGGCGTGAAGACATGGAAAGGCACAGCTGTCTGATCTTCAACACATATTCCACTGCAGATTCTTTGCATGCTGACAATTTGCTCCTCTAGGTAGATTTCAGGTTCATCTGATTTTTTTTCTACTATATATGGACTTTCATTGGGCTTCTTTAGTTAGGGATCTTCTTCTTCTGTCTATTTGTCTTTTCAAATGATCAAAAACGATATCCCACTAAGAACATAATTAAACCATAACTCTACTTAGACTTAATGATTAATTTAGTAATAAATTGTAATTAAGAACCTTAGTTAGGAAACACATTGATTTTATGCTCCAACGGTAATCTCTTATTTAGGGGTTCTTAAAAAAATAACATTGTTTAATCATGGGGCTCACGAGACTTCTTCATAATCTCTAGGGAGTTCATGACACTTTCTTCTAATGCAATAGATCTTGCAGAACCGTTTCTCTTCGTAGTAGCATAAGGCAGGGATCGTTTACTTCCTAGACAGATCTGTGATGCTAAGTTTAGCATGTAAAGTGAGTCATCTTGGCTAAACTCCTGCGGCTGAAAAAAGAACCTAAAGGGTTAGCATTGCTTGCAATTAAAGCCAACAGCCATTACAGCATAAACCCAAAAAACAACTAAACAGCAACTAACGTATGTACCAGGTAAGTAATCAACAATGTTATGTTGCTTCCTTGTAAACAATCTTTGAGCATATGAGTCAAGTTGCTCTCTATGTATGGCACATGAGATTCATTTGCATTGATAGCATACATAACGTTCTGTAAAGCATATATTGACTTATTTATCTTAGTAATCTCTAGAGGAGCTAGATCACTGCATTGTTTCCTGGATTCTTCATAACTTGCCAGAGGACACACATCATATGCTAACAGAAGATAACTAACAAAGTGATATAAAATACACTCAATCTGCCATGTTTCCTGAAGTCTTCTGGATTTTGTTGTGACCAAAATACACCTCTTGAAATCGTGAGAGTGACTTCACAGGTACCTGAAAGCAAAAAACTTTGATTCATCAATGACATTAACCAGCACGAAATGAAAAAGATATACATAAATCACTAAATGACTTGCCTTAGAAAGTCCTCTTAGTTGAATCTTCCCTTGTGCACCTTCTTGTACAGAAACCACTCGCTTCTCTTGGTCTAAGATGTCATACACAGTTTCTTGAAACACCTCGTAAAATGATACAAAAATCGAGTCTCATCTTTTCTCAGCCATTGATAACATCTCAGCCATCGCAAGCAAGGATGACCAAACCAGGTTCCCACTCAGATCCCTACAAAACCAAATCATACATAACCTTCCATTAGCATTTTTATCCACAATGAATAGCATTGAGGATTAGTTCATTTCAATACCTGAATAATAAGTGGTTTTCCACTACACTTTGCTCCATGTGCAATCACATGAACATCTTTACCCTCAAAAACTCTAGAGATGAGAGGCTTAATCTCCTTACTGAGAACTAAACTCGTGTTTTCGTTTTCTTCTTTGAAATGATCCAATTCACATGAGTCTTTTGAACTGCAACATACATATACAAAGATAAATCAAAAACGTATGTAGAGAGTCTGAGTCTCCTGATGTAACTCTTTTCAATCAAATCAATAATAGAGTCCGAGTGAAAAATCAGTGAGGTAAGATAGAATTACCCAGCGAATTGAGCTCCGAATGAAATTGAAACCGTCTCAGATTGATCTCGCTTGTGAACTGATATAGATGACCCTGACGAAGCATGTACAGCCGGATCCGATGGCGGCTTTAACCATAGCTACCACTTGAACCGCATAGACAGAGAGGAAGAGATAGAGACGAAGAACTGAAAGACTTTGGTTTCTTTTCAACGTGTGTGCTCGACACGTGTTATCTAAGGCACGCTCTTCGACCGCCTAATTAAGAGACGTCTCTTGCCTTAATTTCATTTTTTTTTTTAAATTATAATTATCCTAAGAAACATGTCTAAGAGACGGTGTAAATGATGCTCTCAAAAAACAATGTATTTTTATTTTTCTTTGAAATTTAATAGCATTGCAATTCTATTAAAAAAGATTGGGAAAGGTATCCTTTAATTTCAATGATATGCAGATATAAAACCAGCGTCCAAATATAGAAATATTTCAAATTTTATAATGTTCATGCTTCATTCTTAAAATATAATAACATTATAATTATAAAAGTTGATTGATTTTTGATGTAACTTTAGTTTTTTTTTTTTTTGCTTTCAAATTAGACTGTGAATTTTTTTACTTTGGATTTAATTATTTTACTCGATATTTATTTTAAAATCACAAAATAAAAGTTGTAAAAAAAAATTGATTTTGAGAGCTAACTTATTTTCTGTTCTAGTTATTTGATTGTAATAAGCATAATTGCTTTAGAAAGAAAAAATGGTTGTCTAAAGCATCTACAACCAATACTAATCATTTTCATAGTTACACTTTCAAATGTATGATTTTAAATATAAAAAAGTAAGTTAAAAATTATATATTATATTTTAACAGTATTTTTCACAAACAAAAAATTTCCTTAAGATTTTTTGGTATTTTTAAAAGTATTAATAACTAAACTTTATTATAAACATAAATTAGTGCTATAAAATAATTTACAAATTTTATCCAATCGAATGACAGAAAACTTTAGTTTTATTTCTTAAAACAATAATAGATTAAGTCAGAAAAAAACTTATATGATGTATACATCTGTATAATTACACATATACATAGTAGAAATGACAAAACCACTAAAAATACAAGTTAGATCAAATGGAAATAAATAATTATTTTGTTAGGATATTCTCCTTTTAAAATAAAATTATATTGTATAGAAAAATTGGTTAAAGGCAATAAAGTTATGTTTTCATCAAACTAAAAAACCACAAAAAATATAATAATAATTAAAATAGTACGATCTCACAACATGTGATCAATCAAATAAGGTTTAGAGCACATCATAATAAATATATGAATATACAAAATGTTAAATAAATAAAAATAAACATCATGCACGAACGCGGATTTGACCTAATAATATTATAATATTAAAATATTTCTCTTTTAATAATAAATAAAAGATGTGAGATTTTTGTTCCTACATTTTAAGTGAATATTCTTTTAGTAGAATGTAAAAGATATTTAATCCATATTTCTGTTCATATTTAAACAATATTTTATTGCCCAAAGGCTTATAAAATTTTAACCGTTTGTGTCACATCTTATATAGAAAAAATGAATTTTGTAGTCGTTAACAATGCTATAGCTTGTAAATGATTAAATATTAATTTCTTTTTTGACACTAGTAAATATTTATTCCAAATAATAATCATCCCACAATACTATCAAACATATTGACGGATGAGTAGAAACTAAACGGTTCCACACACACGAATAGGGGCTATCGTAATGGATAAACTAGATTTCGACCCGCACAACCGTGCGGGTTTTTAATACAAAATATTTGAAATTATATAATAAAATTTATCAATAAATAAGTATAATTTGATTCTTTATGCTATCCAATTTTATAATTATTTTTATGTGACTTATAATATTATTAATATAAAATTTATAAATTTGTATTTTTGTAATAATTTTTAAAAACATTATTATGTAAGATTACTAATTTATATATTTTGTTTTATTTCTAAATTTGAAATCTATGTAAAAATTAATTAATTGGACCTACATAATACATAAACAAAATTTTGGGATATTGTTAAAAGTATTTTACATAATTTTCATTTTTTGTTTTATAAATTAAAAATGAATTAAATTTTAATTAAATTTTATGATAATTAAAATTTTAATCAAATAAGTTTTGAAACTATATCCTGAAAAAGATTCTAAAAGATTTTTAAAAAATTTTGTTAGAATTTTCTTAAAACTATTTATTTGTATTTCAAACAAATATTAAAGATATGAAAAGATATTATAATGTTATGTAAAATTTTATAAAACTCTAAAGAGGGTTCAAACTATAATATCGCACATGAAGTAAGTCATGACTTCTCTTTTAATATAATAGATTTCTAAAAAATGATGATCACACTACTTCATCGTAACTGAAACGTAATAATGTCATATGATTTAATAATATAAATCAAATGTAGTAGATTAATTAGTGACAGATTATCTTGTGGAAAATTATTAAAGAGAGAGGTCTTGGGTTCGAGGGACGCCAAGCGCATTAATAACCTATATGGGGGAATCAGTGAAGGTTCACATATGAGGGGTTAGGATCGATGCTCTACAACTTCCACAGGATGGGTTATCACATAAAAAATCATCTTCGCTGCTCATATAAAAGATTGAATTTGCTGAGCATATCCCGTAACAACGAACAATTCAGATCACGAACCAATAAACTAATCAAGAAGAAAACCTATATATAAAAATGTTGTTGTGTCTCCAATGAGAAGAACACCCCCTCAATCTTCTGATCCGGCATCCAACTGTCAACCTTTCGATGTGGCGTCTGCGATGACTGTACATCGAATCATGCTGCTAAGAAAGTCACCAAAATTAATAGTTAAGGAGAGGAGGTGAAGCTCACACAGCAGCATCCCACAAAGATAGCAGCAATAACTCATCAAAAAGATGAAGGTCAAACCAAACCGGTCAAAGGGGAGCCAACCCCACCACCGGACGAGAAGAGGAGCATTGGCGGATGATGACGTCAAGAGAACTGAGTACACACAGACAATCTAAAGTTCAATCACAAACCCAAAACTGTTGAGTAAACCCACTCCAATCCACGTCAAGATCTGATGAATAAAAGAGCACGAGACCAAGTTAAATTAGAAGGAGATTCTCTCCGACATTGGGAGGAGTACCAATCGTCGGAGAGACAATCAATCTAAGAAAAAAAATGTGTGAAGCGGTGCAGAGGATAGTAAAGAATATCAATCTAACTTGCTCGTTTCGAGAAACTATTCTCGAAGATAGAGGCCATGTAAGCAGAAGCTAGACTAGGCCTTAGGCATTTTACCTGAACCCGAAGAGTCGACCCGGAACCGACCCGAAAAAGTGCGGTTCGGGTAAGAACCAACCCGAAAAAATGTGGTTCGGGTAAGAACCAACCCGAAAAAGTGCGGTGCGGGTAAGAACCGAACCGATCATTTTACCCTATTGGGTCTTGATGTGGAAGACATGCGGGTCTTGGACCCGAACCCGAGACCCAATGGATACCCGAACTATCTAAAGCTTCTAATATATATTATGTATATATATATATGTGTGTGTTTTAGTATATTTTTTGGTATTATGAGTATTATTTTATGTTTCGAATTTGGGTTTTCGGGTATAATTTTGGGTTTAAAGTAAATTTTAGGTTTTTAAAAATATAATTTGAATAATCAGATAAAAATTTCGATATTTTTATGTTTTCAGGTCAGATTTTGGGTAAAAGTTCGGGTATTTTTTGGTATTTAAATATTTTTCATTATTTTTTGTGTATTTTAGATATTTTTTGGGCCGGATCCGACAGAACCTGAACTGAACTCGACACGAAACCGAACCGAATCCAAACGAATAATTTCTAATTATTCCATTGGGTCCAACTATCTAAGACCCGAACCAACCCGGATCCGGTAAGAACTGAACCGAGAAAGTCTAATTTTTCTACTGGGTCTAAATATCTAAGACCGAAAAAATCCAGACCCGACATGATCCGACCCGAACCCGATTAGAGGACCCGAGGCCTAAGCAGGACATATCTCAGCTTGGTTAGTCAGCAAAAACATGGGAAACCTCATGGCCGAGGGTGTACAGATAACGCCTTGGAATAGCTAGGAAATTAAGTCCAATAGAGGAGTAGGCCCAATAGTGAAGCAATTTGGCCGACGTGGTTCACTTGAGAGGGGTGGGTCAACCATTTAAATCCTCAACAATTGTGACAAAAACGCAGCGTATTCGATTATTTTCCTTGGGAAAGGAAAACCAAAATCCTTTGGCTTGATCTTTAACTAGCCCTGTGTCCGTCCGACGCTTTACGACCGATCTCATCTGTTAGTTAGTGATTTGGATCATGTCGATGCTCGATTCGTTCTTCAATAAAGGATTCAAAGCTGCAAAATGGTAATTAATCAATCTGGAAAAGGGAAGAAGAAGAAGATTGATTCTCTGTGGGTGTACTAATAAAAATCTTTAATGTATGTATACACAGCAAAACGTTGCTCAAGTTAACGATCCCTCGGATAAAGCTAATCCGGAACAGAAGAGAAGCGCAGATTAAGCAGATGCGCCGTGAAATCGCTAAGCTTCTGGAGACTGGCCAAGAAGCCACAGCTCGTATTCGGGTAATGCTCCTTTTTTTTTTTTTTTGATTGGATCATAATCTGTGTGGGAAGTTTTTCATATATAGTTTCTCATAGGTTGAGCATATCATAAGGGAAGAGAAGATGATGGCTGCTCAAGAGATCATTGAGCTCTTCTCTGAGCTCATTGCTGTTCGTCTTCCTATTATTGAGGCTCAAAGGTTCTCAACTTCAGCTTCCTCGTTCTCTTGTCATATTAAATTGAGTCTTCAGTTCTTCTTCTTTTTATTTTTGGTAGGGAATGTCCTCTAGATCTAAAAGAAGCTATCTCAAGTATATGTTTTGCTGCGCCAAGGTGCTCTGACTTGACAGAGCTCCAGCAGGTTCAGATGCTATTCGTTTCCAAGTATGGAAAGGAGTTCGTTGCTGCTGCATCTGAACTCAAGCCTGATTCTGGTGTCAATCGTAAGGTATATCAGAGTTCTATGTCAATCCATTGCTAATGTGTAACTAGCATTTAGCACACAGATTCATTGGTGTAAGTAGCTAAAGAAGAATCTATATGTTTATGGTCTCACTGAATTGCTAAACATTCTTTGCGTGGTCCAATCTATCAATTTAACAGCTGGTTGAGTTGCTGTCTGTGCGTGCACCTTCCCCAGAATCTAAACTGAAACTTCTCAAGGAAATTGCACAAGAACATGAACTTGATTGGGACCCTGCTTCTACAGAAACTGATCTCTTCAAATCGCATGAAGATCTTCTTGTCAGTACTTCTCTCTTCCTATATCTCTTTTCTGCCTACAAATTATTTAGGCAGTATGTTTACTTACACCATATCACATGCTTTATTCGTATTTGCATCAAACCTAGTATGTAGTAGCGTTAAACACAGAATCTACAGTTCATGCATAAGCCATTGTTTTTGTTCTTTTGCGTGTTCAAATACTCCCCTTCCTTTAGTCTTCTTTTTGCCTCCCGTCTCTCTGTCTGTTCCTAAATTTTATTCCTTCTTTACAGGATGGACCAAAGCAATTTGGTGGGGGCTCTCAGTTGCCATTACAGGGGGAACAAGATAAAGGGCCACGTTTGACTATGTTATCTCTTTCACGTCCAGAGGAACAATCTGATTCTGACTCAGAGTCTGAAAGTTTGGACTTTCCGGAGGTTCCAAATGTCTTGCTGCCTCCGACTCCTGCCGCTACCCCTGATAATGCACCGGAGGCAGTGATACCTGCCACCTATGAACATACCTCTCCCGACGTACCATTTTATTCAGAGAATGCAGGAGACAAAAAGCCTGCATCCGAAAGAGATGAACATGGTGAAAAAGCAAGCACCATTGTCGTGAAAGACCAACAGTCTCCACCCATTGTTTCTTCACATTACGTGACGGAATCTGATAAACGAGACAGTTGTTCTTCACCGAGGGATTCCCCAAGGAAAATATCCGATATGGACTTGCAGGATGTCCTAACGGCTGCTCAAGCTGCTGCTGACTCAGCAGAACGTGCAGCAGCTTCTGCCCGTTCAGCTGCAAGCCTTGCGCAACTCAGAATCAGTGAGCTCACCAAGAAGACGCCTGAGCAGTCTCCAGAAATTCCGACCGAGAACCCTTTCCATTCTAACCCACCACCACATACAAGGGAAAAACCGCAGTTTGATCATCAGAATTCTTTTGTCAGGAGCTATGGAGATCTTACAGACTTCCAAATAGGTGACTCTTCAGGCATTTTCAGTCATGAGCAGAACAACTACGAAGCAGCGAGACTCCTTTCAATGGAATACCCGCAGTTTGATCATCAGAACTCATCAGTCAGCAGCTATGGCGATATTTCAGAGCTCCAAACATCAGAAACCTCATCATTTGAGAGACGCAGCTCTGACCAGGACCACCAGCAAATGAGACTACCTTCCATGGAAGATGATCCTTATTACTCATACCCGAATCTCTTCACATCGCAGAATCCTGACCTCTCACCTGGCTCTCCTTCATTTTCAAACAATGCAAAACCTGCCCATGGTTCTTGATTTATAACTTACCTGCGATTTTTATAGTGCAAGCTTGGTGTTTCTTAAGTTCGTTTCATTCCTGCTTCTGGAACAGCTTTTCCTCTTCTTTATTCAGAGGAAGATATGTGTAATTTATAGAAACTTTGTGTGAGTAATTTATGTTCAAATAAAGGGACTTGGTTTGCTCAAGAAATCAATTAGGAACGTGTTACGTGCACGGATGATTGATACAAAAGCCCATTCTAGAAGAGGATGAGGTGGCTACTTTCTAGTAGTAAATATAGTGTAATGAATAAGGGTCTGTCTGTTTCTCTGTCCAAATGAGTTTGAATGAAAATGAGAATTTTGTTTGTCTAGACATTAAAATTGTTTGTTTCTCCATCCAAATGAGTTTGAATGAAAATGAGAATTTTGTTTGTTTAGACATTAAAAATACATGATTTTTGAAATTATAGGTTTAATTTTAAAGTTTATCCAGTTCAACTTATTTGGACCATCTAGATAGAAATGGCTCTATTAAAATGATATAATGTCTATTATATTATTTATATAATTCATAAATTATAAACTTACTATTATTGTTGTTATTCTTGAAAACTGATAAAATCACATTTTTCAAGCTAAAATAAAATATATATTTTTACCAAAAACGCAAAACGCGTTTCCGTTAAAAACGTAAAATGTATTTTTTCGTCAAAAACACAAGAACACTTTTTTCCATCAAAACTATAAAAACATATTTTCCGCCAAAATCTCAAAATCTGTTTTTTCACCCGACTCAAAAACGTTTATGTCGTAAAAACACGTGAAAATATGTTTTTCCGCTAAAATCGAAAGATGTATTTTTTCCCGTCAAAAACGCAAAAACGTATTTTCTCACCAAAAATGCAAAAACTCGTTTTTCCACCAAAGATAAAATACTATGAAATAATGACATATTTGTATTTTATATATACTGATATTATTGTATTACGTTAAAGATAAAAAAAAATAAACAGTATGACTAAAAATATTAGAAACAAAAATAAAATACACAATTTTTTTATTAAATTTCTTGACCAAAACCAAAAAAAAAAGAAATAATGATTAACTAATAATTTAGCCCACATATAACTAATTCTGATTTTAAATTCTATATTTTGACAAAAAAAAATAGATGGGTTGTAGTACTAAAACCCAAGTTACAGGCTGACATCCCTAACCAGAGTTCGAATCTTTATCTTGCACCCATAAAAATAAAGATTCGAACTCTGGTTAGGGATGTCAGCCTGTAAGAGATTTGCCAACGGAACCGTCAAAATCATATGTTTCTAGCTTACAATTTTAAAATTTAACTTTTAACCTGACACCCTAACCCTTACGTGGATCCGCCTCTGTGAGAGACTCCATTGTTACTTCTGTTCTTAAGTTCTTGTCAGCATAATCGTACTTCAATGTGATCGTTACATTAGCTTTGTTCTCTGTTGGAGATGCATCTCACTTAAGAGAACGCTGATGTCTACAAGCGCACAAATGTCAAAAGGAAAGTCAAACTGCCAACGAAGAGACGTATTTACTATGTAATAAAAAAGGCTTTTGTCCCAGGCTCCAAAATATCTACAATTTTTAGAGTCCCCAATTCTCAAATAATCTTGTGTAGCATAGTGGTATTAGGTAATATATTATTTATCATCCCAAGTTCTAATACCAAAGTTCAGAAAAAGTTGTTTTGTTTTATTGTTAACTTTCCAAAATCAAAAAAGAAAAATCTCTTTCGTGATATCAAAATTTCTAAACAGAAAATGAATAAAAACCCCAACTACTTTATACGTGATCATATAAATTTTTAAGTTGTACATCTTATTTCTTACGCATTATCCCATCATCTTTCTTCTTTGTTCCTTGTTATGCGGTTTTATCATCCAGTCTCTTTTTATTTAATCATCACCATCTCTTCTTGTATTAAGATATATGTTTCTTCCTGTATAAATCTCGTCATCAATCTGTTTTTGATTTTTTTTTCTGGTGCTTTTAGTTAGGAATCTAGATTATAAATTTTTGATGAAAGAGTATTGAAAAAGAGGAGAGAAAGATCAAGTTTTTAATTATTATTGTTTAAATATTTTTATGTTGTTTTAACTTTACCTTCTATTTTTATCCAAAAAAAAATTGGTTTAGAGGCCTCATTTTTGTATTTGCCTCAAGAAGCCCAATAGACCTTCGCACGGCACTGTGCCAACGTATAGACATGTATATGTATTGAAACATGCGAGTGAATTGATTATGAAGATCATATATAAGTGAATTGTTACAAATAAAATAAAAAGATAATTTAACAATGAAGACGATTAAAGAAATGCATCGTCTTAATTTAACAATGAAGATGATTAAAGAAATGCATCGTCTTAATTTAACAATGAAGACTATTAAAGAACTGCCAACGTATGGACATGTATATGTATTGAAACATGCGAGTGAATTGATTATGAAGATCATATATAAGTGAATTGTTACAAATAAAATAAAAAGATAATTTAACAATGAAAACGATTAAAGAAACGCATCGTCTGGTTTGTTTCTTATTTAGAATAAAAGTAGTATTGCTAAAAGAATCAAAGTCATGTGACATTTATAGTTTTATACAGTGACTTTCCAAATAGTAGTATACTCGGATAAGACATGCGCATTGCACAAAATAAATTTATATAAAATTATTTCAAAAATATTATATGGAAAATAAATTTATATTCTTGATTAAAATAATATTTTGGTTTTTTAAAAAACTTTTTTGTTAATTACATAATTTGTTTATTGATGAACTGATCATTTTTAAAATATTTGAGGTCAAAATATCACATACCACAAAGAACCTAACGTTTAGGTAAAAAAATCTCGGATCTATTTGGTTACAATGAAACTATGTCAGCTCGGTTTTATATCATGATTTAGCAGTTTAAAATTTAATTATGGTTATGAGAAGTTTACGTTCACGTGACAATCCTATCTATCTTAAATATTTTTCTCTTTTTGTATCTTTTTCTTTTTTGTTATTACTCGATATAAATATTAATTTTGAAATTTATTCTCATTTCGTTTGTTTGTTTTGGCCTAAGATTTAGATAATATTTACAATTTAGAATAATCAAAGAGATACATGCTTAGGTTAAGATCTGAACTTTTTGCAGAATAAGTATTTTATATTTATTATTTATTATTTATTTTATGTTTTTCTGTGTATTATGAAATAATAAAATAATATATATATATATATATATATATATTAAATAACTAAGAAATCAGTTACTATTATGTAACAAATTGGTGTGTGCATATAAATTTAACAATCACTCTTGTTTATTCACAATTAGGATAACAATCAGTCTTATTATCGTATATGATACACTACAAGAAAACTAAGAGTTTACTAAGAAATTTTACTAAGAAAAGATTTCCTCATAAAATTACGTCGAAGTTACTAGGACTTTACGAGAAAAAGTAGAAGCAAAGTAAGTTCCTCGTAGAAAAACGAGAAAATTGTTTCCTCGTAAGGTCGTAGTATAATTAAGAGGAACTTACGTGGCAAAAAAACATTTCCTTGTAATTTCGTAGTAAAACTTTTCCTCGTAAAGTCCACGTAAAACATTACTACAAAATTAGGAGGAAATGTTCTGTTACTTCTAATTAGCGAGGAAATGGCTAAAAATATGTATTTTAAATCTAAAAACGTGTTTTGTACCTACTTTTAATCGCAATTTCCTAGTAAATGTTCAGATTCAAAAATTTCTATAAATACCACCATTTGTGATTCATTTCAAACACACCAAAAGAAAATCAGCTTTAAGCTTGATCAAAGAAAAAAAAATGTCCGGTCCTGAAAATATTTTCGAGTTGTGGAATTGGATGTATTCACACAGAGATAATAACGAGAGAGTGACGAAAGAATTTCTCGATGGGTTGGAGACGTTTATGCATCGAGCAGATTCTACACCACTCACGCAGGAAAGTGGTAAGATGTTATGTCCTTGTCAGAAATGCTACAATACTAAATTAGGCCCTCGTGAAAATGTTTGGAAGCATTTAATAAATAGAGGTTTCATGCCATATTATTATATTTGGTATCAACATGAAGAAGATGCTAGTTGTAGGAATGAAGATAGCAGTAGTAATAGCAATTTTCAGATTGAACCGGTTGATCATTTTCATGATGAAAATAGCTATCACCAGGAGGAACAAATGATAGATTGTGATAGGGTTCATAATATGGTAGGTGATGCATTTGTAACTCATGATGATGATGAAGTTGAAGAACCTAACTTGGATGCAAAAAAGTTTTATGAAATGTTAGAAGCTGCAAATGAGCCAATTTACAGTGGTTGTAGAGAAGGTCTGTCTAAATTATCATTGGCTGTTAGAATCTCTATAATATTATTTGAGAAGTTACTTTCCTATGTGGCATGCTCACGTTAATTCTCACAATGGTTGATTACTATGATACCCTTAATGAATTATTTTACCCACATTGTTCTCAAAAATTTATTTTATATATTTTAAACATGTAATTTAGTAGATTTTCCTCCCGTGAGTTACATATTAACATAATAATATTATATAATGTGGGTGACCTTAAGCAATTTACATATTTCCTCATACATTAAACAATTTTCTTATTTTCGTTATTTTCTCAATAGAAAAGGAAACTATGTTTCGTTAGTAAGGTTTATAAGGAATCTAAAACTATACGAATTATCCTTTTTCCTTATTTACATTTTAGATACATGATAAAACTAAGGTGGTAACTATATAATTTTCTTCGATGCTTAGGTATTATACTTTTTGATAAGCTGTATAAAGTTTCATATTCGTAAAAGTTCTCCTAACAATTTTATATATTCTTTTGTATAATTTCCTAATCCTAATACTTTTTGAATTCCCCAACATCTATATAAATAAACAACTGATTCTCACAAATCTAAACTATCAAGCTATCTACACAAATCTAAATTATCATTCATCTTTCTTATTCACAAAAATCATGTCCTTTCTTCGTAGAAAAACAACCCCTTCATCCATCTTTGCATACATGCAAGATCAAAGTGAATATCATGAAGCTGTGGAGAAAGTATCTCAAAGGAACTGGTTCTATTGAGATGGTTTTTGATTGATGATGAGGTAATTTTAAAATCGATCAAAACAAATTTTAATTAAAGTCATGCATGATTCATAAATATATAGAGATAAAAAATTTATATCTGCACTTGAATTCGTAGTAATGTTCCTTTACCCGCGTGCATGAGCTGTTTATAACTATGCGTTTTGATAGATTTCATA